TGCCGCCACAGCACTCTCTCCCTTCCAATGTGCCTATGGGTATCAGCCCCCCATCTTTCTTTCCTTGGAGAGGGAGGTCACCTGCCCATCTGTTCAGTCATTTGTTCGGCAGTGTAGGAGAGCCTGGTCCCGAGCCCGGGCTGCCCTGTTAAGGGCCAGAGGACGATACACCCACTACACAAACCGCCGCCGCTCTACGGCACCCTCCTACACCGTGGGTCAGAGGGTGTGGCTCTCCACCAAGAATCTCCAAGATCCCCCAGATTTGAGGGTCCATTCCCTATTGAAAGAATAATCAATCCAGCTGCCGTCCGATTAAAACTACCTCGTAGTATGAGAGTCCATCCCACTTTTCACGTATCCCAGATCAAGCCTGCGCTTGAGAGCCCCCTTTCCCCGGCCACACCCCAGCCACCTCCTCCCCGTCTGATTGACGGGGATTGACATACACAGTCCGACGCATCATCCGCTCCCGCCGAAGAGGAAGGGGTCTTTACTATCTAGTGGATGGGGGGGGATACGGTGTCCAGAGGAGAGGTCGTGGATTCCAGCCCGCCACATCTTGGACAAATCTCTAATCCGGGAGTTCCAACAACTCCATCCAGACCAACCATCAAGTTCCCAACCAGTGCGGTCGAGGCGTCAATCACAACCCTCTCATTCTCGTCATGGGTCAAGCAGGGCCAGGTCTGGATCTCCTGCCCCTGGGAGGCAGGGAAGGAGTGTGGTCGAGTCCGATGGCAATCTCTCTGAGGAATACTAATCTGATAATTTCCCTTCTCGCTGCTTTGGGACGTCAAGAGCCGTCCTTAAGGGGGGGGTTCTGTCATACCTGCTGCGCTCACCGGCTGTCTCTGATGAGTGAGCAGTGTATTTAAGCTGCAGCCACACACTCCCCACTGCCAGATCGTCTTGTCCGTTCACCGAGGCTACACGTTCTTGTTCATGTTCCAGTTCCAGTTGTGGAGATTCCCTGCAGTCCTACAGTTACCTGTCGTGACGATCCACGGCCAGTCTCATCGGCTC